GGCGCTGGTTGTCGGGAATGACACGGGAGATGGGAGAGAGAGTTGCCGAGGGAAGGAAGTGATCACTTTCAATGATTCAGATATCCCATGGCTGTATCCCATATCCGAGTCACGTGACTCCATCCAGACGTCAGCTGGTGTCTGGCCCAGGTAACCTATCTGAATGTGAACTGACAGACCGCACGGGCATCGCGTGTTGAACGAAAGGGTACATAGTGCCGATAAAATGTATTCTAGTGTACACCAAATGATATCGTGTAATTTGTTATTAATGTACCTGGGAAAATAAAGATAGGCAGTGTGCCAATTATATCTTTTTTCTTCATCAATACAACAGCAGCTACGTGTACAGTGTCAGCTCCGGTAGACAGAAACACACACACACACACACACACACACACACACACACACACACACGCGCGCGCGCGCGCGTACACGTACACGTACACGTACACGTACGTACATGTTTTATTGTACGATAAACAACTCCCACTCGTCGTTTATTTCTTTAAAACACACATATGTTGGGTTTGAATGTACATGATCGGGTTGACAGGTACATCTGTAGGTAAAAGGGTATATACTCTCCCAAAAATGAAACGCACAGTCGATTTTCTTTATAAAAAATCAGCATATTTCGCCAAAAATGTTGATAAAGTTACTTATTTCCTTAATGTTACCAAACAGTGTTTTCTGGTTGGATAACATCAGCCAAACGCGACGTGTGGTGATTTTTTGACATTCAAACGGGATTTTTGTCGAAATTGTCACGAAATAACTGGAAATAAAATTTCGGGGAATTAGAGGGTTGGGCTGTAGGTATAAAAGGGTGGCCTTCTTTCGATAAACTGTCTACTGTTGTCGATATGCCACCGTCAGACACTGCAACTCGAAATAACGCAATCGGGTGTTTGGAGGCTGGAGAGTTTCAGAAGTCATTTTAACAGCCACCACACATTCCGGTTCGTAAACAACATGGATTTCATCGTGCAGATTTCGGTCGACTGCACGATTTGCAAAACAGGTGTACCGCCAACTGGCAAATTCTTTCGTGCTTTTAATCAAAGTTCTCACGTAGTTTGATGCACTGAGCGGAGTAAGATCCATTTTATTACAATATTGATCTTGATCATCGAGCAGATCGTCTTGACTAGGCGTCGCCTTTTTATATGAAGCAAATGAAATGGATATGTGAATGAAGGAATCTGATTGGTCAATTAGGGGAACATAGAAGGGACATGACTCGTAATACCCACTGGTGGCGCTACGATCGAGCCTGGAAATTCCAGGCTAGTTCGGCAAGGGTGGAAACTGGACTTTTACAGTCAGTTAACGCCCTTTTCTCGGGAAGATGCCGCAAACAATACGAAATCGTCTTTGGGAGATTGGACTAGTCTATGACGTTATCACCGACGTTTACGTGTTCGATGGTGTGTGAACATTCGATCGTGTGCATCTATATCCTACACCCTAAGTACCAACCTGGGGCAATTTGACACCATCAGGTTACTGACCCTCAACGAGAGTGAGTGAGTGAGTATGAATTTACGCCGCTTTTAGCAATATTCCAGCAATATCACGGCGGGGCTCAACGAGAGATTTCTCAGCAGGACAGCGCGATGTCAATATGGATTTCCTACAGAATCTGAACATTACTGTGCTTCCATGGCCATGAAGATTGCCCGATTAAACCAAAATTGAACATCTATGGTATGAACTCCATCTCCGTATGCGACATTATGAGTTATGGATATTATGAGTTATGTCCCTTCTGAGCCTCCCCTATGGACCAATCACGTTCCATCATTTGCATTTGTTTCAAACAAAATGGCGGCGCCCAGTCAAGACGATCTGATCGATAATCAAGATCTATATTGTGACAAACGGGTCTTACATCGCGAAGTGCATCAAATAACGAGAGCACCTTATTAAAAACATGAAAAGGTTTGGAAAATATCTGTTGACAACGAGTTGACGGTGCACATGCTTTGCAAATCCTGCAATCGACCGAAATCTGCATGACACTTTACGAACCGGATTTCGATTTCGTTGCGCGATTTTGATTGGACTATGCATAGACTCGTTAGTCCAGCCAAAATGTAACTCCATAATACCAGCCTAGTTCGGCAAGGGTAGAAACTGGACTTTTATAGTCAGTTTACTCTCTTGCCTCGGGAAGATGGATCTAGCACTGCATACAGGTTCTATTAGAAACTTCTTATCTGCCCTTAGATTTGCATGTGCTGAGTCGTAGAGTTTAAGGCGAGTATAATTTCCGGAGCGTACACTTGACGCACTTCCTGTGACGTACTTCAGTTGACGTACACATGGACGCGGCCTGCTCCATACAAAGGGACAGACACCGTACATTACACCACGTGAGATTGTCTTCACTGACAGAAGCATCGCCAAATAAATCCCCCCAAAACGCATGTTCTTAATATAAACAGAAGTTTAGTTTTGTGAAAACAAAGGAGAAATCTATGTCGTTGAAAATACACAAGTAATGTGACGTTGTGGTAATTGGCAACATAGTTCACGGTGTAATTGGAACACGTTACATTACGCTGTTCTCGAGCATACGTGTGTTTGTAAAAAATATGTACGTTTGTTTCTTTGCTGTTTAACGCCGGACTCGACAATATTCCAGCTATGTGACGGCGTAATTTTTTTGCGTCATATCTCCAGTGGGATGTTTGAATAAGACGTTAACCACTCTGGTGAAACCCATGTCTCACTAATGTCAACCAAGGACAAATAGATTCGAACCCATGGTCATCGAATCCTGCCACGTCTACGGGACGTAACCATTTATCGTGTATTACGGCAACTACGACTACCAGGCTGCTCAGAACTGGCTCGAACATCAGGTACGAACTAAATCCGACACCTAGGGAGGAATGCATGTAGGTCAATGACGTATGTGAGCTAAAATATACTCGAGTATTTACCAACGATAATTCCTCGAGTATTCGCCATTGATAATTCCTGTCAGATTCGACCGTATAAGAGACTGAAGTGTCACATGTCGTGAGCGTTTACCAGTTTGGTCAACTACGAAAGCCTGATGGCGCCACTTTGGTAGCACAATTTACTTTGTTTAAATAGTAATTTCTTTTTATTTCAATTATGTTTATTTCTTTCGAAATTTCGATTATTTTCTCCACAATTTAAGTTTATTAAAAAACTCGAAATTACGCTTTTTTTCTCCTTATTTAAATTATTTTTCCGTAATTTCTATAATTTTCTTGAAATAACGAGAAAATAATCGAAATTACGAGAAAATATGGAAGTAAGGAGAAAAACTCGAAATTTCGAAACAAATTATTAAAATAACGATAACGATTTGAAAAAAATAATACAATTTTGCTACTAAAGTGGCACCATTAGGTGTTCTTATCTGACAGGCCAAGGATCACAAGAGTTCTTCTTCTTTGATATGACCAAGGTCAGGGTTGGTTAAATCTCGGTAGGATAAGTTGGAATATATCATCTGTCCTCACCTGTTCAGAAGAAGGGTGGAAGAGCCAAGAGGAAAAACTTTCTATGGTTGCTGAGGCCCCGTGTCGATTTTCCACAGTCATCTTGTCACACTTACATGCACGCAGGCGGGGATTAAAAGCCCTCTACGGCCTAACAGGTAGCATGGATTGTATATTTCCCAGTGAGCTGAGAATGTAATTGTAATGCACCCTGGTCCATGAACCGTGATAATGATGTCTGGTGATTTTAGCGTAGGGTAACGATCAATCATTTGGTGATGTTTGATAGACAGTAACAGTAGGTAGGAAAAAGTCTCACCTGCCCCGATACAGTAATAGTAGGTAGGAAAAAGTCTCACCTGCCCCGATACAGTAATAGTAGGTAGGAAAATGTCTCACCTGCCCCGATACAGTAATAGTAGGTAGGAAGATGTCTCACCTGTCGTGATACAGTAATAGTAGGTGGGAAGATGTCTCACCTGTCCCGATACAGTAATAGTAGGTAGGAAGATGTCTCACCTGTCCCGATACAGTGATAGTAGGTAGGAAGATGTCTCACCTGTCGTGATACAGTAATAGTAGGTGAGAAGATGTCTCACCTGTCGTCATAAGTGATAGTAGGTAGGAAGATGTCTCACCTGCCCCGATACAGTAAAAAGTAGGGAGGAAGATGTCTCACCTGCCCCGATACAATAATAGTAGGTAGGAAGATGTCTCACCTGTCGTGATACAGTAATAGTAGGTAGGAAGATGTCTCACCTGTCGTGATACAGTAATAGTAGGTGAGAAGATGTCTCACCTGTCGTCATAAGTGATAGTAGGTAGGAAGATGTCTCACCTGCCCCGATACAGTAAAAAGTAGGGAGGAAGATGTCTCACCTGCCCCGATACAGTAATAGTAGGTAGGAAGATGTCTCACCTGTCGTGATACAGTAATAGTAGGTAGGAAAATGTCTGACCTGCCCCGATACAGTAATAGTAGGTAGGAAGATGTCTCACCTGTCGTGATACAGTAATAGTAGGTGAGAAGATGTCTCACCTGTCGTGATACAGTGATAGTAGGTAGGAAGATGTCTTACCTGTCGTGATACAGTGATAGTAGGTAGGAAGATGTCTCACCTGTCGTGATACAGTGATAGTAGGTGGGAAGATGTCTCACCTGCCCCGATACAGTAATAGTAGGTGGGAAAATGTCTCACCTGTCGTGATACAGTAATAGAAGGTAGGAAGATGTCTCACCTGCCCCGATACAGTAAAAGTAGGGAGGAAGATGTCTCACCTGTCGTGATACAGTAATAGAATGTGGTAAGATGTTTCACCTGTCGTGATACAGTAATAGTAGGTGGGAAGATGTCTCACCTGTCGTGATACAGTAATAGTTGAGAGTAAGTGACTCACCTGTCGTGATACAGTAATAGTAGGTAGGAAGATGTCTCACCTGTCGTGATACAGTAATAGTAGGTAGGAAGATATCTCACCTGTCATGATGCTGTAAAAGTAGGTAGGAAGATGTCTCACCTGTCATGATGCTGTAGTAGTTGGGGTAGGACGTTGTGGGGAAGTCGGGCTGTAGGTACTCGGCTCGCACCCCAGCACGCATGATTCGACGGAATCCACCCTCCCCAAACCCGTCATAGTCCAGGTAGTCCCATCTCATGCCGTCCACCAACAACACTATGAGCTTCTGGGACTCGCATTGCAGGAGAGTGGGGAGCGTTGCGAAGAATAGCACGAGTGCGAGGCCTCGCGCCATGCTGGGCCGAGACTGGCCGGTTGCTGTGGAGGCGCTGGGAGGAGTGAGGCTACAGTAGTCTTGTGCTCGCTTTAAAAACTTTCCCCTGCGTGATCGAAATATAAACTCATCCTGTCGTTTAAAAACCGTCTGTTTGCGTAGCGAGCAGGCTCTATATGTTATAGGTAACATTGAAATATGATTACAGAGGATGTGTGCTTTTTTAAACAGGATCTTGTCTCTGTATATGGTCACTGCCTAGTGAGGTTCCAGGTCTGGAAATGAAATATAAACACTGAACTATGAAACTAAAATATACATGTGGGAGGTTGTATTCTTTTTAGACAAACACTTAGACTATGAAAACATTTCCTTAAAATAAGTGTAATCTATATTTTTAAAAAGAACCTTTCCTCCCCTGCTGCTTTCATATAGAACATAAACATTTTAATTTTTGCTTATTGAAAATGTTTTTTTTCTAAAGATTGACGTGCATGATTCAAATATATATATATGAGTTTTCAGTTTCTAAAGACAGAATATCAATGGTAAATTTAGATATGGTTAAACGAACAATCATTGGCACACGTGGTCAGGTGAACAATATTATTTGTTTTTTGATGAACCAAATTGATTTGTCTAGATGAACAGCCAATTATAATATAGATTGGTCTGGGTGAACAACTCATGATAAATTCAACTGGATGAACAACTAATGATAGATTTGACTGGATGAACAACCAATTATAGATTTGACTGGATGAACAACCAATTATAGATTTGGCTGGATGAGCAACTAATGATAGATTTGACTGGATGAACAACTCATGATAGATTTGTCTGGATGAACAACCAATCGTAGATTTCGATAGATGAACTGTCAAGAGTTGATCAGTAGCTAGATATACTCAAATATGACAGATTTTGTAGCTTAGCAGCATTACAACACCGCCTTCTTTATAGAACGTCTAGGAACCTAAACGTACAAAAGTAACTGATTATATTTCGTGAATGATATTTGGTCGATAGGGAGCTTTAATTCCGCCAAGCAACCCACAAGACATGATAGAATTGGTGTTTGTGTAATCAATACATTCATGTTATGTTGACTACGGTGACCATTAACTGGTACCACAGCTGTGCACGTCTCTAGATTAGTGAACACACAGTTGTGTGCGTCTCTGTACTAGTGTAAACACAGTTGTGAACGTCCCTGGATAAGTGTACACAAAGTTGAGTTCGTCTCTGGATTAGTGTACACACAGTTGTGTACGTCTCTGGATTAGTGTACATGCCGTTGTGTACGTCTCTGGGTTAGTGTACACACAGTTGTGTGCGTCTCTGGGTTAGTGTGCACACAGTTGGGTTCGTCTCTGGATTAGTGTACACACACTTGTGTACGTCTCTGGATTAGTGTACACATAGTTGTGTACGTCTCTTGATTAGTGTACACACAGTTGTGTGCGTCTCTGGACTAGTGTACACACAGTTATGTACGCCTCTGGACTAGTGTACACACAGTTGTGTACGACTCAAGATTAGTATACACACAGATGTGTGCGTCTCTGGACTAGTGTACACACAGTTGTGTACGTCTCTGGATTAGTATACACACCTTTGTGTACGTCTCTGGATTAGTGTTCACACAGTTTTGTACGTCCCTTGATAAGTGTACACACAGTTGTGTACGTCTCTGGATCAGTGGACACACCGTTGTGTGCGTCTCTGGACTAGTGTACACACAGCTGTGTGCATCTCTGGATTAGTTTACACACACTTGTGTGCGTCTCTGGATCAGTGTACACGCATCTGTGTACGTCTCTGGATTAGTGTACACGCAGCTGTCTACGTCTCTGGATTAGTGTACACACAGTTGTGTACGTCTCTGGATTAGTATACACACCTTTGTGTACGTCTCTGGATTAGTGTTCACACAGTTTTGTACGTCCCTTGATAAGTGTACACACAGTTGTGTACGTCTCTGGATCAGTGGACACACCGTTGTGTGCGTCTCTGGACTAGTGTACACACAGCTGTGTGCATCTCTGGATTAGTTTACACACACTTGTGTGCGTCTCTGGATCAGTGTACACGCATCTGTGTACGTCTCTGGATTAGTGTACACGCAGCTGTCTACGTCTCTGGATTAGTGTACACACAGTTGTGTACGTCTCTGGATTTATGTACACACAGTTGTGTACGTCTCTGGATTTATGTACACACAGTTGTGTACGTCTCTGGATTAGTGTACACACAGTTGTGTACGTCTCTGGATTGGTGTACACACAGTTGTGTGCGTCTCTGGAAAATGTAAAAAATAAGGTTATTATTTCATCACATGGTTACACTTCATTTCAGTGTGGTTAATGCGTTCGCTCGACATAACCGAGAATCACGTTCAAATCTCTTCATTGGTACAACATGCCCAGCCTGTCCTTGTGATGTTTGCACAGTGCTGTCTGAACTTTTGTAATATTGGCAATAAATCTGAAATCATTGTCAGCTATTAAAGCCAATTTCTTTAATCATTTTGACAATACGATTATTCCTGCTTGGGATTGAAACCACACATGTGATCGATGACTGTAACATACCTCACCGGCGACTCTTGCATCCCCAGGCTATTTAGAGGATTTTAGGGACGCTTTACTCGCCACTTTTCACCAACAACGTATCACACCTCTTGTTGTTCCAAACACCAGGCACGTAGGGGTTGGGGTGGGTTCGGATTTTGTTTTTATCAACAGAGTTTCACAAGGAGAAGTTTACTCAACCCCTCCATCTATTGGCCAGCATCAACATACATACGGCGTATTATATAATTGTATATACGTATGCATAGAGTTAATAATATGCTTTTTAGTTTTGTCTTTTAACGTTCTCGTGAAGATTTTGAGTCAGTGCCATAGATGAAGCTGCCAACCACCTTTTAACAAGTGGGATTCGGGGGTCTATGGAAACGGTATTCTGGGCACGGTAGTGGTACGAGGAACGCAGAAAATATCGTATTTGGTATGCAGATTCATCATGTAAAACAAAGTAATGGTGTACTTAAACTTTCCGTTATAATATTTTATTTTTTCGCTATTTTTTCAGCTATTAAACTTCAAATAGCATACATTTCTCAATAGTGTTAAATACAATTCGGGGTGAGCAATCAGATGGTATTCGGGATTCAGGGGAGGACGGTGTTGGCACTCTCATAAATAACATCATCTTCCCAAGGCAAGTGAGTTAACTGACTATAAAAGTCCAGTTTCCACCCTTGCCGAACAAGGCGGGAATTCCGTGGCTCGATCGTAGCGCCACTAGTGGCTAATATGAGTTATGCCCCTTCTATGCCTCGCCTATGGACTAATCAGATTCAACCTCTCGTATCACTTGCATTTGCTTCAAACAAAAAGGCGGCGCCCAGTCAAGACGATCTGATCGATAATCAAGATCTACATTGTGATAAAACGAGTCTTACATCGCGAAGTGCATCAAATCACGTGAGAACTTTGATTAAAAGCACGAAAGAATTTGCAAAATATATGTCGACGCCCAGTTGATGGTACACCTGTTTTGCAAACCGTGCAGTCGACCGAAATCTGCACGATGAAATCCATGTTGTTTACGAACCGGAATGTGGGGTGGCTGTTATAGTCTGTCTTACAGACCCTGATACAAATATATATCAAATACAGCCCATGCAAGTCTATAATGTTTGGCAAGTCTAGATCACTGCAGTATCAGGCTGTTTTAATATTTTTATTAAGATAACTAAACAACTGTTTTTTTATGTACGATATGTTCATTTCAGAGACTAGATTTTAGTCTATGGCTATTACAATGACGACTGAAACTCTCAAGCCTCCAAACACCCGATTGCGTTATTTCGAGTTGCAGTGTCTGACGGTGGCATATCGACAACACTAGACAGCTTATCGAAAGAAGGTCACCTTTTACACCTGCAGCCCAACCCTCTCTTTCCCCGAAGTTTTATTTCCAGTTATTTCGGGGCGGTCGGGTAGCCTAGTGGTTGAAGCGTTCGCTCGTCACGCCGAAGACCCGGGTTCGATTCCCGACATGGGTACAATGTGTGAAGCCCATTTCTGGTGTCCCCCGCCTTGATATTGCTGGAATATTGCTAAAAGCGGCGTAAAACCATACTCACTCACTCCAGTTATTTCGTGACAATTTCAACAAAAATCCGGTTTGAATTTCAATAAATCACCACACGGTGCGTTTGGCCGATGTTATCCAACCAGAAAACACTGTTTGGTAACATTAAGGAAATAAGTAACTTCATCAACATTTTTGGCGAAATACGCTGATGTTTTGTAGAGAAAATGTAACTCCATAATACCAGCCTAGTTCGGCAAGGGTGGAAACTGGACTTTTATAGTCAGTTGACTCTCTTGCTTCGGGAAGATGAAATAACATGGGAAAATGAGACGTATATGCCAAACGCAGATACGTCATGTTGTTGTTAATGGAATTTGTTTGACAAAAAATCTAAATTCACGATATCTCTTACGCATAAATTCAAATCATTTCCCCATTTTTTTCCACTTGTACTTCAGCCTTGCCCCGCAGGAAGAAAATGTATTTACAGGTAAAAGTACCGGGTAGGAGATTATTGAAGATAATGCAAATATGCAGAGCGCTGTTGATAGATTACTTGGTTACTTTATGGTATTTTTTATTATTAGCTTGCTCAACGTAGAGCAAAATAATCTAGAATTACAGAGATACTCATTGTGGCCGATGTATTTTTGGGGGTATATATTTGTTTTAATTTCATTTTAGGTTTTTACGTATATCTATTATATATAACTAGTTGTCAGTTTCAGTCAGCTGTAAACAAAGTGTATCTAACCTGTTTTGCCTACTAACTGCCCCATGGCCAGAAGCTTCATTTGCTGATTGGCCAAGCTAACACCTATTGTTAAACTGCATGCTTTGATTACACTGCATACTCTCTCAGTACATGAACTGACAGAACTGCTCAGACCAGCAAAGCATAAAGACATTATCTTAAATTAGGTGAGTTAAATCGTTATAATCTCTGTCTTGTGTTGTATTGAAGTAATACAGTATGTTTAAAGTGTTATAT